AGAGATGAAGGACAAGATCGATAATCTCGATGTCCAGTTTCGCAGTATGAGCGAGGCTATCGAAACGTTGGGTGAAGGACTCGGCAATACCAAATCCACGGTGCAAGATCTAATGGAAACAATGAACCGGCGATTTGATGAGATGGCACGCACGGTACTCGATCGCCTGCCACCACCGCAGCTACGCGATCAGGCGTGGCGGCACGAACGCGAGCGGCCTGAATGAGAGGATCGGCGTCGCGAGTAGCGGGAGCGCGAGGATGACCTCGATCGGCAGTCCCAGGCGTCCACATACCAAGAACGCCCGAGGATCGACAAGCCACGCATCACGTTGTCCACGTTCACAGGCAGCGATCCGGACGCATGGCTCCACAGGGCGGTACAATATTTCGAGCTTAATGAAACCGATGGTCCCGATCGCGTGAGGTACACAGCTTATTATCTTGATGGTGAGGCCAACGCATGGTGGCAATGGCTCACTAGGATCTACCGCAAGCGCCAGCAAATTATTACTTGGGATGTTTTTGAGAGAGAGTTGCTTACGCGATTTGGTACGTCCGATTATCATAATTACAATGAGGCTCTTACGCGCATACGGCAAACAAGCAGCCTACGCGAATACATTAGGGAGTTCGAACGATTGGCTTGCCGCGTGCGCGACTGGCCGGAAGAGGCACTAGTTGGCGCGTTTATCGGCGGATTGAAATTCGACTTGGCTGCTGAGGTACGGCTCGAGAGGCCCGACACCATGCATGACGCGATGGAAGTGGCCTGACGCCGGGAGGATCACCTGGTTGCAACTCGAAGAGGACGGGCGGACGCCAGGATTCCCGACGCACGTCGCACGGGCCCAAGCCAAGTACCCGCGGGCGCTCGGCCTACGGTCAATACACGGCCAGCGGGGGCGTTAGTCCGACACCTATCGCCGGAGGAGGTCAAACGACGACGTGAGAAGGGTCTCTGTTTTAAGTGCGAAGAGAAGTTTACCCCGGGGCATCAGTGTAAGCAAGCCTTTGTCATTGAGGTGGCCAACCCAGACGACAAAGAGGGTGAGGTCGAGGAGGAACCGCCTCAAGACGACGAGACTGAGGACTTCAGAGATGAGCCTGAAATCTCGATGCACGCCATGGCCGGGATACGAGGTCCTCGGACTATGCGCTTACCAGCTTGGGTCAAGGATCGAAAGGTGATGGTGCTAGTAGACAACGGGTCATCCCACAATTTCATCAACGCCGAGTTGTCTCAAAAACTGAACTTGCCAACTATGAATATTGAACCTTTCGAGGTACGGGTAGCCAACGGGGAGAGGCTGCAATGCACTAAGTCCTTCCGGAAGGTGCCAATCAGGTTTAGCGGAGTTACGGTGAAGATTGATCTATATGCCTTACCCCTGGTTGGACCAGATGTAGTGCTGGGCGTCCAATGGCTCGAAGGATTGGGCAAGGTGACGACCGACTATCGAACAGGAATTATGGAGTTCAACTCCGAAGGTCGTCAGGTCACCCTCAGCACCAGCACTGACAAAAAAGCTAAGGAAGTAGGGCTGAAGAGCATCGAGAAAGTTTGGCGTGGTGGAGGCCAAATCTTTGCCGTAGTAGTCGAAGATGTGGGAGCGCACTCGAGCAAGGACGCGCAACAACAGGGAGATGTGCGTGAGCTTCTCGAAGAGTTTGAAGGAGTCCTGGGCGAGCCCAAAGGACTACCGCCGCGCCGAATGTTCGACCATCACATACCATTGGTCAATGAACAGCATGCCATACATGTCCACCCTTATAGGTAGGCTCACTTTCAGAAAACCGAGATCGAAAGGCAAGTGGCCGAGATGCTAGACTCAGGTCTCATACAGCATAGCAAGAGTCCGTTCTCTTCTCCAGTTCTGTTGGCTAAAAAGAAGGACGGTACGTGGAGATTTTGTACTGACTACCGAGCTCTAAACGCTGCAACCATCAAGGACAGATTTCCAATCCCCAGTGTCGACGATATGCTTGATGAGTTAGCCAGATCACGCTATTTCTCTACGCTCGATCTAAGAGCTGGCTACCATCAGATTCGACTTCACAAAGCTGACATCCCAAAGACAGCCTTTCGTACACACCAGGGGCACTATGAGTATCTGGTTATGCCATTCGGCTTGTGCAACGCCCCATCCACTTTCCAGTTCGCCATGAACTTTATTTTTAAGGAGTACCTGCGTAAGTTCGTTCTGGTATTCTTTGACGATATCCTGATCTATTCAAAGTCATGGGACGAACATCTTGGGCATCTAAGGACAGTTCTCGAAATTCTGGAGGCCAACTCATTCC